TGAGGTATGCGAGCGAGCTCTTACTCCACACTATCACCTCTCACCTCTGTGACAGGGGTGGAAATTTCGTAAATACGACGTGGGCTTTTGCTATTCTTGCCTCTGCTTTTTATCTTGAACTTCACAACAGCGGAAAACTTTTACGATAATATCCTAATGTAAGCTCCAATATATGACTTCCTCCGCTATCACAGTTTATTGAAGTAGGAAGAGGATTTTCTAGGCAGATTTTATCGTATTCTTGCCTTCATATAAGGGAAATTTGGATAAAACGCCCAGAAGAAAGATAAGCTTCCGGTTCTCATAAAGCGAACAACATCGCCTCTCTTCTCAGGTATCAGCCGTCATAGAGAAATTTAAGAGAGCAGTGGAAAAACATGTGAATTTTTTCACTAAATCATTTCATGCAAGAACAAACCATATTTGAGCGCCACTAGAGCAGAACATCGTGCCGAGATTTAAACTTAAACATACGATTTCTCTGGTGAAATTGCGAAGAAAGCTCCACAGCATCTAACTTCATCTTAGTGGCTTATGGTGTAGAAGTTAGCAATAGCGCACAGGGACAGTAATCTTCTCAGTAATGCGAAATATCTCCTTTCCTCATCTTTTATTTCCATTGTCCTTTCTCACTTCACATACACGTACACAGGGACACACTGTGTGTGCCATTTCAGATACGCATCGCTCTGTCCCTGTTTGATTTACTCCGGAGCTGCTTGAAAACATTCAATGACCATATTTTATTGACATATTTACCCACATGGCTGGAAAAACATGGAAAGCACCTTTCCCAGTTTCAACACCATATCGATCGTATTCAGTACTTTAAAAACATCGTACTTCACAATTCCTGCTTTAAATTAAGAAGATGCCCAACTTTCGGTTGGGGATAGTTTTCCTCACTTGTTTTGTCAAAAGCTCTCAAATTTTCTCTCATTGTTCAACTGTACATTATATTCCGACATCCCTCTAAAATCTGATATATCCAATTTATGCGAAATTCTCTCGTGACGCTCGACAGTAAATCGCCACATTAATTCCTATGTACTCCGAGCGATAGAGTTCGTTTATGTATGAGCACCAAATGAGTGGGAATATGAGGAAAGTGTTATGATATTATTGCGTCCTATCAGTGCTGAACCTTCTGTGTGTTGTTTCATAAAACAAATTATAACCTCCGAAGCTGGCAAGTGCCACATGAGTGAATTGTGACTGAGCAATCTCAATAGTCAATTCTATAAAACTTCCCCGGCGGATTTGATACTCATAACTCAACTAAATTGTTTAATTAATTATAGGGTGAAACAACTGCGGAAGAGTGGCAAAGTTATAAATATAGAGCCTGCTTCGCGTCCGGCAGGGTTGAAATTTGAAATGGGACTCTTGGGGTGTTCACATCTTTGCCAGCAGCTAATAAAAAATTAGTTCATTTCGCAAATAGGGCAAAAACGGCGGATAAATTAAAGTACTTGCATTGTGGCAATGGAGCGGACCCATGGCGAGTGGGATAAATTTAAAAATTTTCCAATTATTTACACACTCACATTTTTGGGGCAAAAGTGCGAGTGTATGAAATTTTAATTAAGCTGTTGGTGAACTTTCGCAGCTCTTTAAACGCAAAAGCACTGGTTAGAATATTTAATACTGGGGAAAAAAGGGGTTGGAAGCTTAAAGCATTATCCAATTTCATATCCCATAATAGAGAATATCTTAATTCAGCAGGAATAATCAGCATTTCTTATCGCAATTGAATTATTTTTGGTTACACAGATGGGCAAATTAGTATTCATATCATACGATTCGCACGAAATTGCCATACTTTTGGTATTCAACGGGTTGCTGGAAAGTTTTCCGCGTGAGTTACTCACCCTTCGACATTCACGCAATTTGCCCCACTTTCTTCCCTCTTCAGCCCATTCTTCTCACTGAGGTGTTCCCGCATTTGACAAAAGATTGCTCGTTAGTGTATAAGTTTAAAAGCATTTTAATGAATGAACGAAGAGGTGTCAGACCAAGGGTTATATTTCGTCACTTTGTGCCACCAAATCTGCCAAAAGTTGCTCCACCTCGAGCCCAATTCTCCATCTCCGGCACCAAGAGGGGTTTCTGTGTGTGGTTTCCAGTGGGTTTGGGAGCTGGTGGAGCGAATCATGAAAAATTTATTGTGCATTCCAACTTACACTGCGGTTGCCCTTTTCTCCACCCTTGGACGCTTGCCAATATAACTTCGGTCTACCACACCCCATGTGTGTCTCCGGAAACCGAAATGGAGCCCTTGAGATGCTTAACATTCATTTTTCGACTTTTATACATTCGCAGCGAGAGCCCCACTGAATGCCTCTAAGCTACTTTCTTCCAATTCAATTCGCACACACATAAAATATGCATAAGAATTGGCAAATCTTAACAATGCCCCGCCTCTGGACCGTCATCAGCAGAGACTGTGATAGATGCTTATGGGGATATGATGGAGTTAATTTAATTACTTACATTTCTTCCCTTTTTGAGTTATAGAGCTGCCAGCGCTCTCTCAATCAGGCCTGGGCGCTTTTCTCACAAAAAGGGGAAATGAAAAGTTTTCTCATTTCAAGTCTCTCGCACGATGATGATTCAATCTGAAAGGCGATACAAGGGCGGGCAATTGAACATCCACAAGTCCCTTCGGAGACTTGCAAGAAGTCCTCCTTCCGCCAAAGTGGGAACTTCACTCAGTTCACACTGTTTTTCCTTATATATCACTCGGAAACACTCAAAGTTGTTTCAATACGCTCTTCATTAGATTCCCAAATTCGATTATACATATTTTAATGATAATTTCTCTGTGTGGCAGTGAAATGTCTGTGGATTTTGCATATCTTAAACTTTTCCTTCTGCGCTATTCTCATGACAAATCATTAATATTCAGTCATCTTTTCGGTGAACACAACAGTTGTGCTTTTGAGCTTTCTTCTCTGTCTCTTCTAAGAGTGTTTCATATAAATTAATTGATGTGAGAAATAAATTACACACAGCTAAGCTTGGAATATTTTTCAAGCAATTTACTCCCTATATTTAATTTGCGCAATATGCGAGTCTTGTGCGTTGATGTGTCCAAACTCATGAACTTTCCACTCGGTGACTCTCCATTTTGCCTATGTATTGCTTCATTAAAGCACACTCCGCGGTATTGTATGGCATATTTGGTGCCCATGGGGAAAAATTGGCGACTGGGGTGGCAAAAAGAGATGACAATACACTCTGGCTCATGCGATAAAATCACAACTTTCAGCGTCATCATTATTTTCCCTGTGGTTTCCGTTCCACCTCGCATTTCGCCATTTCTCTGTGGTCTTGCATCGCCTGTAACTAAAACCATTATGTCAATATTGCTTTTTTATTATGATAAACGCGTGATCGCACGCATCATCTTGGACAGTGATGGTGAGATCGTGCCGAAGACGTAGAGATAACCTCCTAACCCTCTTTTCACTCCTCGTGTAGCTGCATGGAAATGATACTGTGATTTTCTCATTTCCGCCAGTCTACTGAACTTCCATGGCATCTTGTGTGTATTTATGGAGAAGAACATGGCTTTATGCTGAAAGGGAACTGAAAAATAGAATAGTGTTCAGTATTTCTCTACAATATTTCTCCCTTTGTCGAAGACTCTTCTAAATCTAAAGGCGAATTGTAAAAAAAGAATAATGGGACAAAGGGCTCACTTAGATGTGAAATATGGGTCAAAAATCTCGAATCTACAAATCGATCAAGGGGAAAGTCACTAGCTGATTTTGGAGGAATCCTAATGGTTTGAGAGAAGAATATTTGGGCGCAGAGAATGAAGCTTTTCGCGTAAAAAACGCACTTTTATCATCAGCTCATCAAGTTTGAAAGGCAATTTGTGGAGTAAAAATAATGAAAATTTAGATAAGAATCATGAAAAATCTAAAAATGATTAAATTGTCACAAAGTGAATGGCCTGAAAATCGCGAGAGTTTTTCCCCTTGAAATAGATTGAGGAAAGATGAATTTTTTAGTGAGGTATAATCGATTTTTAGAACACTATCACCGAAATAATGGTCTAGCGACAAACACGTGGAGTCTTTTTGAGCTTCTGCGGAAACAGTTTTGTTTACAGAGTTGATGAAAACTCGTGTAAAATGGAGCGCCGAGAAGTTCTTTCACATCCTCCCAATGTGAGACTACCCGCGAATTTCCTCTCAAGTGTCTGCAAGTTGAGTTGGTTTCTGGGTCAAGTGTATCACTCCACCGCATGTGACCACCCTTCCTGGGCTCTCGGTCTGCCGCTAAGGAATAATGACACTGCCAACGGCGACGACTCTGTGGCCACCGGTCGGATCAGGAATGAATAAGCCGAGAGAATGATGATAAAGGGATGACGACAGTGGATTCCTCACCTCGGCACGGGGTGGTGGAACGTGGCAGGAAAAGCAATTTTCTTTACATCCAACACACGATCAAAAGAGTGGCGAAGACGATAAGAGCCACAACATACGAGAGGACGTTTATGGGCATCGGAAATTCGTCCTCATCTGCTTTCTCGGGGAATCAGTTTATTGGGAAAGCATATTACCGTTATGACTATATTGCCCACGATGAAATATTAGTTGAGGTGTATGAGTAGTTGCTTCAGAGGAATTCTGTGGCTATGCTTCACTCGCTGACAGGTTAATCTTCCGATTCTCCACCACAAACGGCGCTCACAGCGTCGGGCGATTGGTTTGTGGAAGTGTACAGTGTCATATTTTGGGGTGTTTGATTGGCACAAATCCATGATCTACAATTGCTTCAGCCTGTGGTTCATCTCCATTATCCACTGCTTAATCCGTGCGAATGTGTGTCTTTACCTCATCCACTGAAGCTGGGCTAATTAATGAAATTAAGGAAAACACTGCGAATACATTACACACTTACCTAATATATATGACTACACTGTAACTAATATGCCTCATGTCATACTAATACTAATCTTTTCTCTCTCCAACTGTCTTTCGCAGATTTACAACATCGCACAGATTTGCACATATTCACACAATCCGCATTATTAACATGACCCACGGAGTTGCTGTGCTCTAATAAATAACTCAGCTGATTACATTTGGCATAAAACCCGTGAAATCAAACACCCGCCAATCTATCCACCCACTTCAATTTCAATTTCCCCGCGCTACCGAATATGAGCTGAGAGATTGGGTGCAGAATTCGGGGTGCATAGACACAAGCCAGCGAGCTTGGTGGGTGCAGGGGTGAGTTCTGGAGCACTGAGCGCCAATGCGCTATCAAACCTTCTCTCCGACGATTGCCAAGGAGTCAATCACTGAACACTGAGGACTACTCGAGCGCTGCCGATGTGAGTTTCGCGATTACTCACTTGCCATAGTTTTCATTGTATTCCACATGAAGTGAGAGGCGGCTGAGATCCGCGGAGTTTACAATAAAACTCACTTGTTGGCAGCATCACGCACACGTCCGCAGCCAGAGCGCAGTGCTGAGGCCGCTGAATTCCAACACGCAACGAGGAAGTCAGGGTGGTCATCGCAGTCCGGCTTCAGTCTGGCTCTTCATCATCTCGCAAGCGCCAGTGCAGTGTTCACGAGTGGTCCCAGCGATGAGGCCGCGACGGAAGTGAGGAGTGGTTAAGGGCTGCGCCGGCCTGTTGCAATGCTGACCCATTGACGGGCGTGCAGAAGACTCTGTTGAGTGGGTGTGAAGTGACTCGTGCCAAATTGGATACTAGCCGCCTTGGCCTTCTGGCCGACAGTGCGTGGGGCAATGCGAGGGCGTGAGGTGGCGTAGTGTGGGCTGCCGGGAGGGGCCCGGATCCCCAGATATGCCAAGAGCATGGCTGGCCCGCAGGCACAGCAAGCGGGTGCGTCACGCGCGGCCCAGTCGTTGCTCAATCAGAACAACCAGGTGCATCATACGACCGAGGAGGTGCTGGAGCTGGTCTCCCGCGACAACGTCCGCCAGTCTCACTCGGAGATCGCGGTGGAGGACGCCGAGGAGGGCTCGAAGCGAGTCCGCCACAGACACAGGCCGCTCTACAGGCGCTTCTTCAGCTACATCAAGAACGCCTGGACGGGGGTCAACTTCTCCTCGGGAAATGGTAAGATTGAGCGCGTGGGGATCAGATCGATCATCGCCTGTGGCAACCTTGCCTCAAAACATCTATCAATAGTTAGAAGAAAGTGAAACATATGCCGCTGATCGGGTGCGATTAAAAACAATCAATGCACAGAGTGTCTATTCTCAGACCACTAGAGTCGCCGGGATTATAGATCGTGGATTGAGAGGATTAGGTTTTCAAAATGTTCGCGTCATGATCTCAATACTGAAAGCTCAAAATCCATCCATTGGTGCTGGAGAGATATTTGCCATTTCCGCTACTCACACAGTATTTAATCTCTCGATAATTTTAGAAATTGGCTAGAATTTCATTGATGATTATTTGCTGGAGTATTTTTACCTCCAGAAGAACTTTTATTTCGCTGTAATCATACAATGAAAGGAATTTGGGAAATGAAAAATTCATTACACTCACCTTTTCAGCACGAAATAATCAATTTTGGATGAAAACATGACATAAGGCGATGCTTTTCAATGTTTTTACACTCTGAACGACTAATGAAATTTTTAGTCAAGCTTTTTCATGCAATTTTTATTCCTCTGAAACCTTTGAAAGTATTCTAGGAAACATTCTGCATCGTTTGCACTCGAATCTATTTGTGTACTTATGTATATAATACTATTTCTGCAATATTTATTTATGTTCTTTTTAATGAAAAACAGACACTCAGACAGTTATTGTAATTCTGAGTCTTTTGAACTTGGAGCAAATAAATGTGTGTCGGTGAATAAACGTGCAGTTACAGGTAATGTAATGCAATCTTATGATAATCTAGAGAATTTTGCGCGCTAAATCGAGCACTTCTAATTCTGGATCAAAGACTCCTCGTGCTTGCTTATAAATAGGCCTTTCTATGTATTGCATTCCATGAAGTGCCGAATCATTTCTCGCAATTTGTACACAATCTCGCTCGGTCGAAGTGTCTCCTGTGGCTTCAGGGCGGAAAATCCCCTTCACGATGACGAAGTTTCCATCCATGTACTAATTAAATCCACCGCATGAGCCACTCAATGGGGGAGACACCGTCGTGGATCCCATCGGGTGTTTTGATATCATTCCCCGAGAGTGTCAGGAGGAGAATTAATCAAGAAAACCTTCAGCGTGTTTATATGCGAAAAAGTTATAAGACACACAAGAGAATCTGAATCACGATGGATCCTTTTGCCACTTCTTCCCCAATTTAAATTTAATGATTTTAACTCTTTCCACAACGTGTGTGTGAGAGAGAGAGTCTTTGAGGAAGACCAATGCGTACACACAACAGAAATTAACGAATATCCATCTGTTTTCCATATTCTCCAAAATTTACATTTCTTGGCAGTTTTATGGCAGAAGAAAAATTTGAAGAATCAACCTTTTTCGTCTTGACTGGCTCGCCCCCGAGTCAAAGTCCTACGCACACATATTTCAAATTTCTCTGAAGATTTTTTCCCGATTCTTCTTTCTCTTTGGCGGAAAAAAACTGCCATTCATCTCATCCCTTAACGATTTTCCATCCTCTTTTTATTATGGCCACCCTCATAAGACAACGCGATACAGCGTCGAATTAACTTTGAGTATAGAAAATGCTTAAGAGCGCCGTAAGATTTTCCTATAATAGAGGTCGATTTGGGTGTCTGTAGAGAAATTCAGCCAAATATCCTAACTGCAAAGTGTCAAATAAACACTTGATATTTTCCCAAAATATCGAATAACACAAATAACAAACAATAAATGCTTGCTAAGCTTTTGATAGAAGTTGTAGGAGAATTTATAAGACATCCGATCTGAGCCATATTGCATGGATCCCTCTTGGTTTTTATTGAAAAATCTCTCGGTGAATTTCTCTCTGGGGCCACAGTTCAGAGAATCCGAAATTATGTAAACAATTTTCGGTGGCTATTTCCCGTTCAATTATGCACGCATCTTCTGTGGAATAGTTGTAAAATTCACTGTTGGGGTTTTTGATGAATCCTCCCAAATGAACATGGTGAAAGCGCGAGTCGTTAAGCAGATAAGTGGGTGATCTAAACTGGATTAGGCACTCTCATGAAGATATTTATCTTGCTCGCATATGCGAGAGGCAAAAAGCAAATGGCAAATCTCAAATTTATTTTTGCAGTGGGATTTTCGCTTCTGCAGCAGTTAAATCAATTACAGAACCATAAATTATCGATGGCAATTTGAAATTTCACTGTGTATAAGTAATTTCAAAAAGATTTGTGTAGATAAGTGCTAAATTTATGGAATATTAATAGGAGCGCTGTTTCAGGAGTATAATTGTCGTAAATTTTATATTGGGGAGCTTTCGTGTACATTGTCTGCACTGAATTTCGCCTAGATAGCTGAAAATTATAATTCACGCTGAAATATGAATTCTGGAGCTGTGGCTGAATCGAAATTGCTCAATTTAATCAAAATTAAGCACAAGACTCTGAAAAAAACTTCTCTCATATCTTCAATAAACAAACATTTTATGGTTTATGGCTCTCATTGTGTGTACTTTAAAGTGGGAGATAATTTCAGTCGAATTTTTTTTCTATATTGCCTCACGACACGACATTAATTGCTCACTTTCTGCACCTTTGATCATTCATGCTAAAGCCTTACTTATTAATGAAAATTTCCACCTGTCCGTCCAAGGTTCAATTTTTTTCTTACCAGACTTTTAAAATCAATTTCACTCTGTCTTTTTTACCGCCACATGCTATCGGGGAAATAAATTTTCCCTGATGGGACAAAAAAAGCGCATTGGCGAAGAGAAAAATGTTTGTGAAAACGACGATGTTCACCTCAAATTAAATATTCCAATTTCAATGTCCGTGCATACATTTTCTTTCCAATTTCCAGTCTAACTCATCCCGACACACACACATACACACAAAATATTCTGATGAAGGCGTCACATTCATTTCGAAATGAAACGACAAATAGCTCTGAGTTTGTAAATACCAACTATGCATAAATTGTGGAATTGGAAAACACACGAGAAAGTTGGAGAGAATGCTCAAACCCCAAAGTTTACAGTAAAAATGTAAAAATATATATAATGCATACATATTTGTATCCCACATACATAATTGTGTTGAGTTAAATATACAGTCGTGAAATTTTATTGACAACCAGGCGTCTGCACACACAGTCACTTCTCACCTTTGCACCCACACAAAACAATGGTTTCTCACTCTAACTCAATTTAGTGCAAAGTTGCGGTGAAGTTGAAGATCGCACGATTGCTATCTAAATTGGATTCGAAACATCTGTCGAAAAACATACAAAAACAAGTCATTTACAAGTAACAACTCATTCACTTCAGTCATATTAATTAAAAATTAATTGTGTATACACACAAACATACTCGCAAGCACACGATTCCTACTTCTGTGAGCACTTTTCGATGCTCAACAGAGCGATTGCCTCTGCGTTTGACCGCAGTTGGGCACAAGGAATCATTCTCATTTGCAAAGCTCACCTATAAAGCCATGACTTGTTGCAATAAAACGACCTTTTAGGGGAAATGCTGAGTATCAGCGCGGCAATTCTAACTTTCGCCACCCATTTACCGAAGATATCATCACAGTTGGTCCTGTTTTGGCTTTACACATGCCAGCTAATATCCTCATCCAAAATATTCCGCAGCCGCTGTAATTGCTATTTGTACATGAGACACATAACCACCGGAAGCGGAGAATATAATGCCATGGTGTTTAAAGTTGGCAAAAAGGCTTTTGCATTAAAGAGATGGAGTCGCATAAAAATGTTTTAATTAAATTGAAACACTTTTCGCTTCTGATACCTTTAATGAGTTGAATTCAGACATGTAAATGACTGTTTAAAAGTACCAATTTATTCATTGTGCATAATGTAAATATTTGAGTTTGTATTTAATTCAATTTTTGCTATGAAATGATGAAAATTGATTAAATGATGAGACCTGTAATTTCCGTCGAAGAGAAAGAAAACAAATGCTCTTTGTTAAAACTTTGCAGGAAGTTTCAGCGTGTTTTGTATGGAAGTATTAAAACCTCGATGAATTTTATTTCTTCTCTTTTCCAATAGCGTTTGCGCGAAGGTAAAAGGCATAATAGATTTCCCATCGGAGATGATGGTTTTCCATTATTCAAGTAGCCCCAAATGGTGAAAAATTAAGTGATTCAACCATTTTATCATGGTTTAATTTCAACTTATTCTTCTTTAAGCTCTCCGTGAACCGTGAGCGTAAATTAATTTTCGATTTTGTAATCTTCAATGTCTTAAGTATGTGGATTTCGTTCCAACGTAGTCAACTCAGACTATCGACCTTGTGTGGAACATAAAGAGGCCTCTTGTGGACTTTTCCATTCATCTTCTCTCCAGCTAAACAAATCGTTCATCATAATCAGTCAAAGAGATGTGCGCATATGTGAATGAAAATAGATATATAATCGAGTGTTGGGCGTAAAAGTAAATGTGATAAATTCCTCTTTGCAACATCTTCACACTCGATATTTCCACATGAGAAGCAATGGTGGTGTATTGTGATGAACTGCAAGTGATTAGATAGATGGTGGAGTGAAAATAAACTGGGTTAAGAGTATGAAAACATGCTTGGTCCGGAATAAATTAGAGATTTTGATTGAATTGTACTGTGGCTCAGAAGTTTTCGCTCTGAAACATCTGTGTTGATTCTCCCCACGGGATGCTGAGGAGCCACAACAGAGCGTCGAAGAGGAGGAAGACTGGCGAAGGAGAAAAAACCATTAGATAAATAATCGCCAGACTGACTGTTATGAAAAAAGGCCCTCCCACAATATCTGAACTAGACATTTTCGGGGATTTATTGATCAGCCGCGGTTTTCACAGTTTAATTCTTTTTGTTTTGCTTTAATTTTCTCTAGTTATTTTGGATTTCCCGAACCGCCAAGTCACAACTTTTCTCACGATTTATGTCAGTGTTGAGCACGATCTCCGCAAAATCGGTGGCTCGTCCTCTGTGATCATTGCTCAGTCATCTGCGAGAGGAATAATGAATTTATTCAATAGTTAGTCGCTTTCGCTGCAAATTGCTTCTGCACGGTGCATATTTTCCGTATTTTGCCTCCCTTGCGCGCGCTTCTGATGCAGCAAATTCGCCGCGCCTGTATTGTGATATTGTTTGTGGGGGTGGAGAAAGCTTTCTGGGGTGGAAAAAATTGAATGCTCCCCGCATCTGAAATTCACCATCTGTACATTCGTGGAATTTGCCGAGTGCGTGATGTGAGGGATGTAATCAATTTATATATCTCCAGAGTTTCGCATTCCCTTTGAACTCCCCGCGTGCACCCTTCCCGGCCATTTGCCATGCGAACGCTCAGCAAACTCAATTTGGGGGACAAATTAATTGCGGAGGGCTTTTTAGTTCAGCAGCCAACATTTATTTTTCATTATCTATGGCCCTTTTGTTGAACACTGGGAGTGAACTTTAGCATTAACTTTTCTATAACCAGCACCAGAAATATGGACTAAATCGTCCTCTGACATTTTAATCTTCTGGGGCCATTTTTACATAACACGCACACAGCTTTTTTCAACTCACAAATTTGCGCGCTTTTGAAATCTTTCCATCTGACATTGCGTTGCTTCATTTGCAGATTCAGAACTAGAGGAATTGGAAACACCACCACGATATCGTCCAGATTCACTAAGTGCCCTATGCAGAGCAACACGTTTTTCCGAAGCTGAAATTAAACGAATTTATCGTGGTTTCAAGGTGAGATGAAATAATGTGTGAAAGTTCAGAGATAAATTCATCAAACTTCTAGCAAAGCTTCTAGCAAAGATAAGCGTCACACAATAAAGATTGGAAAATCTATTGCTTTTCAGGCTGAATGTCCAACTGGAGTGGTCCGGGAAGACACCTTCAAGGTCATCTATTCACAATTCTTCCCCCAGGGAGGTTCGTATGGAGTAGCACAATAAGAAAGCACTTAATAAAGAGCTGACTTAATGAAAGCCTACGTAATTTTTGTAGGTAGAAGAAATAAGGGGAAATATTTTCGGGGAAATCTGAAATTAAAAATTCCCAAAACGTTTTAATTTACCAGATTCTACAACTCCGCGTAAAATCCCGTCAAGATGAGGGTTCTCAAGACGTAATCCATTCCTTTGGGCTGCTTCAAAATGATATATTGTGTTGAGTGATGAGGCAACTAATTGCTAAATTGTTTCATCGCAGCTCTTATTAGATGCTAATGTTGTTGAGTACATCACGATGAGGCCGGAGGAGTTCCAACCCGTCTAAATTAATTGCAACAATAAATTAATGAACAATAAAATAGTCAAGATTCTTTTCTTTAGATTAGGCAATAAGCCTAGAGAATTCCTGCCTCCACTCCGTATTTCATTAACTTTTATAGCACTCTAGGGAGAGGAAATGTATCACTTCTTCATCCCCATGTGATGTCCTTTGAATATTCTTCAGAGACTATAATGGAAAATTCTTTATGCCCCATATTTCTTGTTGTCTCCCAATGTGCCTCCGCGAAGAATATTCAACTTTATTGAACTATTTTATTAACTCGATATTTATGGTGATAAAAATGAATGGATTTGCAGGGACATTTCTCCCTATTATGCTGGAACTGCTTTATTGCCTCCTTTTCTCCTCACTTTGCGCGGATGAGTTATTGTGAAATAATTTTAATACAATCATGAATTGAATTTAAAAGTGACGTGAAATCCTTAGCGATTTACTATTATTTGACACATATTTTTGGCAAGAAGGACTCTCATAAAAATTTATCATGACACAGAAAACAATAACTGTGAGAGACTGTCCTTATTTTCCTCACGAAATGCCTTGAATTCACTCTGCATTATCGTCATGGCGAGCGTAGTTTTGCTAATACTCTGCTCGTGGATCGTGTCAGCATTTTTTCCTGCCAAGACGGATTCTTTCTCAGCACTTTGTGTCGTGCAGAAAAAATTCCCCCAAGTGATGTGTTTTTGCCATTTCGAAAAAGAGATATTAATTTATAGACGGAAAACGAAAAATTGAATCTTGAGTGCTTTAATGAAGGAGAATTCTTCATATCTTGCTAAACAAATATACCACCCGAGACAGTTTTATACGTCTTGCATCGTCCGCAGAAAAGACTGAGAAATGTTTTCTTGAGGAGGGAAGAAAGAGCGTGTAATACCAAAGGAATTACGTATATTGCATATTATGCTGTATTACATATAATATGAGAATATATATCATACAGCATTTTTAATTCTATGTGTTTACTTCCTCAATTCCAAGAAATACTGTCCTTTTTCCTTGCGCAATAAAATTCAGGAGTACATAAATGGAAAAGCATAAAAAATGAGAGGATCATTTTATTAAAAATAAAATACTCTTGAGTCGCTTGTTTAAATTGAAGGGAATAATAAAACGATATGATGTCTGTATTTGAGTAATCAAGCATAAAGCATTTCAAAGAGGAACCCAAAGATAATAAACCACTAATTTATATACGATTTAAATTGTTACAATGCCAGAAATGTATATAAATTTAATATTTGTTCCATGAATTGACAATCTTGCCTAGAGGGACATGCTCGTTATATAAGTTTCACACTCCCAGATGTTTAAACATTCTTCACAGCATTTCACAAAAACGTCAGATATCGAATTTCCGCCTCGGAAGCATGTTAGTCACTTGAACAAATGTTACATGGTGTAAAAAATGGGAGCATGTTTAGCTGCTCTTTGTCATTTTTCTTCCTGTTTCTTGAAAAACAAGCAAAGAAAAAAACTTTCCATAAAACACGCTTTATAATAAAAAGATTAATTCACTGTTTATGTGAAAAAACCACTGCAATGACGCGCACTTATTTATGCACTAACAAAGAGAAGAAGCTGTCGAAAAAATAAAGCTCAGACAAAAAATCGGAATAGAAAGAAGAAAGCTCTTAACCCTAATTGCATGCATTAAATTAATTATTAAATCGTTTATTTGCTTTTTCAGCGAATAGCGGACAGTATGCACATTATGTTTTCAACACACTGGACCAAGACCGAAGTGGAATAGTTAGTTTCGAGGTGAGCTTGAAAGCTTCATGAAATTGAATTGAATTTAATACGCTCTTCCGATTCAATATGCAACGGATTTATCCAACATTTCATTAAACACGATATATCATTCTTGAAATAACATCTTTCCAGTGCTTTGAGGCACAAATTAGTACGGGCGGTTTCTCAATTCTCGAATAACTCGAGCGTGGTCAGCAACGAGAAGCCAAAGAGAAGCAGAGAAATATGAGTAATAGCCCTTTGGCGACAAATCAACCCCCACAGTATTTTATTATATTTCAAAGTATATAGTTCAGTATCAAGTCTCAAGCCACTTTGCCACTGCATGTCAAGATCTGTGACCCCATTTATCTATTATTTATTTGCGTCAGGAGAGATGCCCAGTCCTCTGACTGGAATCCGCTTGACAAGGAGACTGGTCACTCCATGACGAGGAGCTAAACGAAAAAATATAAAGTCAAATTATACACAAACCGACAGAGATACATATTTGCTCGATAAATTGAGAGGAGGAGTCACAAAACGTGATCATTTTTCTGGTTGATACAACTTTGAAGAGTGGGAAGGAGACAGAGGGACTAAACTAGGTCATCTGGGGTGACAAGGAATAATTGGGAGTCTTCCTAATGCATGAGATAAATTCTCTGTATTTTCAGCAAAGCTGCTAACCCTCATTGTATTGTATCAATTTTTCCTTGTTAAACTTTCTCACTTGATTTTCGTTGTCTGAATTTTCGCACCTTCTTTCGAGCTCGACTTCTGCTTTAATTGACGACGAACTACGCCAGGAATTTGGTGTATTTCCAACTATTCTTTAATGACAATGGCAAATGTATTTCTGAAAAAGTTTATGGTAATATTTCACTAAAGTGAGCTAAAGTTTCGCCAACTTTTTGTATGTCAGTAAATTAACGTTAGGTTTAGGATTGAAGGTCCATAATTACCTCACTCTGAACTCATTAGCAACTTTATTATTTTTCGGTGTTATTACTCATTTCCCCTTCTTGGCGAATTCAAAATTTATCTCTCAGCCAAAACAGACTTTGGAGAAGTGAATCCCGATTTGAGATCCTCAATTTCTCTGTCGCGAGGACAAATTTTAGTACATGTCAGTTACAGATGACTATATGTATAAAATGGCGAAATATCCTATATCCTAGGAAATAGAGGGTATGAATAAATCTAGCCATTTGTTGAGGGTAAGCTATTCGCTTCCTCTCAGTTTTTGTCATCTAGAGATGGGTATAAGTTCCATATGTTTACTCGTGGATGACCAAAATAATAAATCTTTTTCTATATAGGAGCAAAAAGAGAAAAAAAAACCCGAACATTCTCCTCGGCATCAATAAATTATTCTCGATATATTTATTCTTTCATCAGATACTTTTTTTGACAAGAACTTCCTCTCTTCCTCATGTGCAGGAATTTGTGCAGGGATTGTCAATACTCTCACGAGGGACTCTAGAGGAAAAGTTGCGGTGGACCTTTTCATTGTATGACATAAACGGGGATGGATTTATAACCAGAGAAGAAATGACTGATATTGCGACTGCCATTTACGATCTTGTTGGCCATTTACCAATCGATCCCACAGCCACACCGGAAGAGGATAGAATTAAGGAGAAGGTGGACCGAATATTTCAGGTGAGTTTCAATCGTGATTTCTCCAGTCTTTTGCACCGCAAAGCAAACCCAACTGCAAGTACTCAATTGTGCCAATTGCTTCAGTGATTTCCAACACCGAACGCCTGACGTATCGCTTGTGTCAGGAAACGGACATTCGCTCGTTTGGCTAATGGGCTGACGTGCCAGGGCTTTTGGTCAGCTGAGTTGTGCTGTGTCCCATGCGAATGGGTGGTGATTTGTTTGTTGGAAATGCCGAAGCGAATATGTACATATATAAATTTCAGGGCAGCAACACTTTGCCCAGCATACATTTTCGCCTCTGCACAGTAAATTCGGAACCTTGCTATTCTCCACATCCAACATTGACAATTTTCCCATGCATTATGCACGGTGTCGCTGAAAGGTAGCGCTCTGCAATCCCGTAGGGATTATGACGGAAAATGCACACTGAATTCCCACAATCTTTTGTCCCGCAAGCTCGAGGAAATTCCAGGGCTGACTCTGTCACCAAACACCGACCGGAAGTTGTGCTTTATTTCGCCATTTTCTGTGTTTTCCCCATATTTGCATATTTTGTTTCAGTGAAATTTCACAAATTGATTACAAACATCGTCCTTGCACAGTCACACGGATGACATTTTGAATGCAATGTTCATTAAATTGAGCAGGAAATTGAGAAATTTCTTCTCGTCAAAAGTTTACATGCAAACTCAGATGAAATTACTGATGGAGTGTCTTTTAATGTTCTCTTTTCCGCAAAATGCACCACTAATGTCTTTAACCTAAATAAGTTATCGCACCGAGTTCGATTCAATGCAATTCCGCAATTCAATTTGCTGGGAAAAAGTGGTGACGTCATTTGGAAACATTCTTTCTACAGGACGCTTCTGCACTACGCAATTCCGAGCTGTCAGTAATGCTTAAAGTCTCCAATTTTGCAGTCATTGCTGGGCGGAATGAAGCAAGTGGAGATGTCCTAATGAAGTGTATGTGGCGATGTGCAAAGGAGCGCCATGAATTCCTAGCAAATACCCGACAATTCACGGACGGTTAGGTGCATGCCATGTGCAATTTGAATGAATTTGTCATTTTGATAGCCATGAATCTATCTGCAGGTACTCATCACATGCTACACATGTTTAATGGATGTTCCCACGAAGACCCAACTTGCACATCTGTGGCTACTCTTAATACATCATGTATGCCTTGTTCTCCATTGATAAATTTGAAAACACTCTCGTAACTTTCCGCAGAACGAATGCCAACACATGCTCTTGCAATTCATATTGCTCAATATTTTCGTATCATTATACTTTAATGCTCTCCCGACTCTGGCATTGCCGTTGGCTTACAATTTGAATATTTGGAAAATCAATCCATTTCAAAGGGATATTTGCAGAATACACCTTTCATCACCAATGAAAAGCTTCACTCCAGACTCCGTAGGACGAACAACCTTTTCCTCCTCCCCCGTCGACACACACACAAATGGCTTGATTCTCGCACAAAGTTTCGCTCACGGCGAGATTCTAGCACAAGACGCCGTGAGGCATCCAAATCACTTCGCTTTCCAATTAAATTATCGCAATCTCACACAGTAAAGCCATACTATCGTCGACAATTGACATTTTCACGCCGCTCCGAAAGTCACTCACAATAATGAAGGCATTCGGAAGGGGTGGAAAACACTGTAAGAGAGCGAAAGGAATCCTTTGGCAGTAATTACGGTGCGAATTACCGGTGACGAGTGATGTGAAATGAAAGTTTCACTGACGTAATCCTCATGAATCGCTTTTTTTCCTCCTCTGCAACTCACGGTTAGACATGGAATGAGATATTAGCACATATTTTCTCTTATCCTACCAAAATATACAACGGAAAAACCACAGCTGTGTGCAAGGTTTGCGATGTGTAATGAAAAGCTTCACCTCTTTTTTATGTAATGGTAAAAAGTAACACATTATGCATGGTGTGGTGATTTGTAAACTGTTTTTGCTCCTCCCGAAAAAATATCCCAGAATTACTGATAAATGGTTTACCATATATTGGATGCATGTAGTCGCTGTGTACATGCATGTTGTCGATTTTTTTCCCTTCACACGTGTGCAATCATTTGCTTTGAGTTGCACGACTATGAATGGAACGCGGCAATGAAAATGGTTATGGGGCTATTTTACAACTGCAACACGGTTCCACCATTTATTTCTGTATTTATTATTTATCCGTGTTACAAAGGGAGGAGAGATATGAAAAGTAAATCTTATTGAATTGTTGAGGCACATGAATGGCTACGAGCTTAGCGCATTCGTAAATTTCAGTATAAAAAAACGTACAAATTGAACAGAGTTGTGGTTTCCTTTCTATCGTCACAGAAAATGGACGCAAATGGCGATGGAGTGGTGACATTAGAGGAGTTCCTGGACTGCTGTCGCAACGACGAAGCCATCTCACGGTCGATGGCCGTGTTCGACAGCTCCTTCTGACCCGAAGCCAGCCCATCTGCAGGCGATGGAGCTGCGGCCTCGGCATCTGCATCGTGTCTCAGCGGCACGGTGAGAAAATCGCCTGCACTGTCCAGCACCTGCAACTCCGTTCACTTCCTGGACCCGCCGCGGCGGCACAGCGCCTCCTGCCACAACCACCAGCCGCGCTGCAGCGTGCCGCGGCGCGCCAGGACGCCGCAGGACCAGCTGCTGACGCCCCAGCGTCTCCAGGCCCCGGATTCGCCGTTCCTGGTGCGCGTCCGGGCGTGGCACACTGGTGAGAAGCGCTACTCTTCCGTAGGTGCTGGAATTTGCCATTGATTCAATCACTAAGTCTCTGCAAATCAGCGGAAAATGGCAATCAATTTTAGCTTTTGGATGGACACTCAGCGAGAGGAGATTAATTCTCTCCGTGTCCGAAACTGAAATCAATCGGTGGAGATTTTAATTTAGAAAAACCGTAAAGAAAAAGCGCTGTGTATCCAGGAAACGGTCAAATTAAGTCAGAGAGAGAGAAAACCGCGATAACAAAGGATTGTAAAACTTTTGTCAGTATAAAAATAATTGAATTTTGTCAATAACAGAGAATTTTTCCAATTCAATAAAATCAGACACACTCTTTCTCTGTTTTTTGATAGTTTCATGGATATTTCAGTGCATCATCAATGTACTTGATAAAGTAAAAAAAAAATTATACTTATGATGCTCTCTTAGAGAAACAAAAATATGAAATGAATAATAAAACAAGTTCAATAAAGTCTAAGATCGTGAGTATATGTGTAGAGACTATATGAATGTTGGAAAATTTCATGTTTTCTGATATTTTGTAATCCATCATCTAGTATATAAATATGATATTTATTATAGATATTGAAAAAAAAATCCCATTAGAATACGAATGCGATACAAGGAAAGCAACATTTCAGCTAATAATAAAAATTGTAATTGACTTTAGGAAAAAGAATCAATTGACTCGAATGTAAAATTGTTATCAATCAAGAAGAATATAAAATATGTTTTAGATGTTACTGTATAGAAAAACAATGCGTCTAGAGAACAAGTATTAAATGAGATTTACTGAAATACGAAGATATCATCTTAGGATCTAGTGAAGAAACTTTTGCGATGAGAGCCGCATATTTAGCCAGAAGATAGTAGATTCTGTAAGTGTTGTTCAAGTGTGGTTTTGTGGACTTGACGTTATCAGATGATGGGCGAAAAGTGGATGGAAATATCAAAATCGAAGTCTATTTGGAAGCACCTGTGGTGGAAAACGAACGCGCTACGAGACAAAATTTTGATACATTTATTGTCCAAAAGGAGGAAAAAAAAAAGAATTGTGTGTCAGATGACATGACTTTAGAGAGGCAAATAGAAGTACATAATATAGGTAGTGCAGTTTTCAAAAAGAAAGTCCAAATTAAATTCAAACCTCATATTTATCTTTGGACTGATGCTCGTCATCAGGAATAGAAAATTATTTTTTTAAAACACATTCACATCCTTTTCCAGAGTTATGAATGAATATATCTATCATATATTTGTATGTTAATGAAAAAAATATCATGGATATTTTCTATATAAAATATTGATGTAAAAAACATACAATTAATATGAGAAGATTCAATAATGTCGACGATAAATGTATTGTACACATATTTTGACTTAGCAGCCCCGATCAAAAGAAAGTAGCTTTAACTTGAGATGAAATTAAAGTATAAGTGTAATCTTAGGACGTTCTCAATGACATATGTTTGCCAAAGAAAGAAAAGAAGAAAAATAATAATAATGAATACAATTATTATAACGTGAAGCATTTTGTATTCTTTTTCACTTACATTCATATGTATGAAAATGAAAAATTTGTGGCCTATTTTCGCTAAATTTGAAATTAAACGAAATAAGTTCAATCAAAAGAGAAGATATTTTCTGTGATTATACGTTACTATGTGTCGTCATTTTCTTCAAAAGAATATCCAAATTTAAAAAAAATTCTGACATATCAAAAATGAAGCATAATAACTTTCCTTAATTGTCACAATAATTTTTCTTTAGGATTTCCTACCAAAATGATACAGTTGAAAATTCTTATGCCACAATTGAGACTTGATTTTTGGTAAATAATTTAAACCATGTAAACAAAATATCTATATTTGAACTCTTTCCAATTGTTAAAAATGCATTATGATGGAAAATCTTCAAGAATTCTTTGATGAAAATATTTAGTCAATCGATACATTATTGTTTTTAACAAAATATATCTCTATTTTATAAAGAGAAAATAATACAAATGTTATCTAAAAGAAAAGTGTGTTTCTTACTTGTCTTCATTCTTTTCACACCAACTGTACACTTTTATAACAATTTGTATAACACTTTCGTGTCTTTGCTAAATTTCCTTTGTTTCAACCATGTTTCATTTCCATTCCTCATGAGTTAGCAAATTTTTTCGCATTTTGTGCTTAAATTATTTTTGTATATTCTCACTTAACAACCTTATAAATAAATTTCGCATAAGCATTTGCATTTAGATTTAATTGCAAGAAGAGCGCTATTACTTTACACTGAAGCTAATTTTATTGACGTGCAATTAAATTGAGTCATAAAAAGTGAGAAATAGAAATTAATTTGGATTAATTCGTCATTAAAATCACAGCACAAATTCTGTTTACGACCAACATCTTCAGCTTTTATTGCTCTCAAATTTGAGAAAAATCTTACACAGCAATTTAAAGGCTCGTACATCCGGAAAAATTGTAGTGTTTCCTTGACTTCCGAATTGTCCTGAGAAGAAACTCAAAAGAAACCTTTTTCTATTATAAAAAAAGATTGAGAATAAACTTGAATTTATTGCTTTGAGAAGAAAAACTGAAGAAGTTGCAGCGAAGAGGCCAATGAAGCTGAAGAATCCCACACAATGCTTCGAGTGAGTTAATTTAATTAACTAAAGACGAGTGTTTAATTGCTCGTATGTCTACATATGCCACGCATGGCGGAAAATACAAGAGCAAATCAGCGGCATTTTTTGCATTTTCAGGTAAATGATACAGCTATAAATCATGGCGAAGATTTCCGCTTTTTGACACAATGGTGACAGTGGTGCACATTTGAGCATAGGCAATTACAGAAGGCATTAATTGTTCGCTCGATGCAGTGCCAAGGACTATGCGTGGTCTCAAATGTTGCAAAATATCAAAATCACACCACAAGTCGCGCCATCGAAGAACATCATGTTCATTGGAGAAAATTCGTAGAATTTCCGGTGAAGTGGCAAAATGGGTCGCGCTGCATTAAGACATATCCCCCGGCTATCACCTCATCGCACCACCGATTCCGTTCTCACATCACGTCTCACACTACAAGTCTCGGCCAAATGTCAGCGAGTTGGTGGGGAAAATCGGCTAAATATTAGCGAATGGACATTCACATTGGCAAATAACACCTCAAAAGGCGTTAAAGCTGTTCTTTCTGGCATTTCCGACCTACAATCCAGCCACTTTGCGATGCATTTCGAATTTCCAATATAACATTCATGAGGATGGTTTTCCCACAAATTGTGGTTGCTTGCAAGGTTTCGATCATCCGACATAATCATTTAGCTATTGAGACATATAATAGATTCATTCCAGAACAGAATCACATGTGTTAATGGTGTTAATGTGAGAACAAGGACAAATTATACATAATGTTTGCACACGTGTGATAACAATCAATAACAACGCTAAAATGGGATTGATTTATTGGTGCGATTAGAAAAATATGCGCTGATCAATGCGTTGATAAAGATCTGAAGTGTTGAAATCTTTAGAGAATCTAGAAGAGGAGTCTGAAATATGATTTCTTGCATTTTATTCACTTGTTCGATGTTAATTAAGACCAAAATACACAAGTTATTATGGACTTTGACATCCCAGTCTTAATGTTAGTGATTTTTTTTCACCTTTTTTGATCTCTGGATCAAAGGTCAATAAATCTACATAATTTATTTTATAAATCGGTTATTGTTGAATTGTTAATAGATGAGATTTCAAGACATTTATCACGAGAATCTTTCAATAAAATCTTCATCACGGTAAATGGTTAAGGTTTTTGAAGAAAACATTGCTTTTCAATGAATACAAAATCTGTGAAATTGCTTAAAAGCACACTATTAGCTTTGTATTGTAAACTCAACAAACACTGCTGAAGTGCGCCGAGTGTGTTGAGTTAGAAGGTGTTAAGCTACACGGCGCGCACACATTTGAATATCGAGCTCCACTTGCTGCCACAGAAGCACACCACACAATCAGACTCAATTCACGGAATTTAGCAGTGGGCAGCCGACTGTTCAAAGGCTTAGCTGGCTTTCGCGTTTCTCCCCCGTGCATTTCACACTTTTTGCCGTGCATTCCATCTCAGGCGTACCTGGAACTTGTTATCTTATCAGCCGCTCTGTGTCTATTGGACCTCTAATAAGCGCAGTATCAGTTGAAACTGTTTTGTGAGAGTTTCCATCCGGAGAGAATCCATCAGCTTCGACAGCGGTTCGTCTTGTAGTGGTGATCCGGTGTATCCAAATACGGTAAGTCGACACCTCAATTTTACCTCATATTCCGCCTCTACATTTTTCCACTGAACCTCCGAAACAAGCGCTTTTTTCTCCGAAGAAACCACAAAACCGCGGACAACGAGGTATTTGTTCAAATTATTGAAACTAATGGACTAATCAATAACTGTGTAGTGACGGACTGAAGTCAGGAAACTTCAACCTTGGAGCATTACAGTTCCTGAGAATTGTTTAAGCATAATTCCATTGCATAATTCCATCCAGAATTTGACCAAACAGTTGCGTTTTTACGCATTCTCACAGAGAAAACGTCGGGAAATATTATGGGTGAAAAGAATTGCGTGTTCAGTGGGAGAAACACAACTGACGCTGCGAAATTACCTGCTAATACAAAACAAATATATACATTGAGTAAAAAACCAACCGGAAGCTTTTCTCGTGATGCCTGAGAATG